TACAGACAAGAGGTTTTCAGATGCTGCACAGACATGCCATTGTATGGGAATATTGTCGTTTTTAGGTGATTTTTAATGCTTAGAAACTGTAGGAAGTGGAATGTAATATTCATATCTTTTGTGGTTGCAATAAAATTCTAGACAGTAATTCAATCTACCCTGCTTTGCTGAAATCCAATTTCATTTACAGATGGGCATAACATTTATTTCTGTAGTAATGATTTAAGTTATTTTAGCAGGGCATTTAATGTAGTATTGCACAGCCTAGCTTTCTGTGAAATGACTGCATATGATAGTAAAAACAAGGTTACATACTTTGGGGGAAGTGCCATGTAATTTGGTAGAAATAACCCTGGCTAATTATTTAAACTGAGTGAAAAAAATCAGCTGATGGAATCTGTAATGGAATTCATAACTGGAGTAAATCTTTGCTTACAGTGGATCTAAAAGAAACTATAACATATAGCTCTATTCTCTTCCATTCAGCAGTTGTGTATAGTTACATCACAAAGGAATGTGTAGACTTTGATGTACCACCTTATTCAGGGCAGATATATTTGAAAACAAAATACAATGGGGATGCGTACGTGACACTAAAATGGTATTTATTTTATTATAACAGAATCACTTATGGAATTCATTTATTGGGTCAAATTGATGCCAAGCAACACAGTGTCACAAATTTCAAATACTGCCTGAGGGGAAACATCCCAGAGCTGGTTCCATTCTTATTAGTATTCCATTATTGTTATTTTTATAAGAAAAATGTTTTTAGATCAAGACCTGGGCAGTGTTTGTAAATTTGTTCTTGCCATCTTAGAATGTAATATTCTCTTGCAGTGCATGCCTTCCAGGAATTTGGAAAAGAAGTGCTGGGCTCTGTGTTTTTGATTCCCAGAGATCACCCGTCCACTTAAATTTAAGGTGTTTAATGCAGACTGCTTGTTGTTGTTGCTAAAAGGCACTAATTGTTATTTTATACAGCACTGTGTACCAGAAGATAGAAATAATGAAAAAAGGGAAAGAAAGAAAATTGACCACAAAACAGTGTTAATTGGGCCAGTCAGACCACATGTTTTTTTTAGTTGTTTTGGAAACATCAAGTGTAGTATGATGAGGTCAAAAGCTCCAGCCAGCATTTTGGCTAAGGCTGAGGAGGCGTGTGTAAATGAATTGCTTAACTGCGGTGGAAAGAGCTATGCTATACCCTGTTTGCTTCATTAACTCTGATAATATTTTTCACAAAAGCAAAAATAAATGCCAAATCATTTTAAAACATGTGAAACAGGCATTTATGTAATTATATAGTAGATTTCTGTGTGATCTCGGGTTAGAAGGCAGAACAGGGCACAGATGCTGAAGGACAATAGTATTTCTTTAAGATCTATCCTTCAATGTTCTCTTTAAAACATTTTTGTATGAAAAAGCTAGCCTTGTGAATTATCTCTTCTTCTTGTCTTTGTAGACTGTAATACAGTATACAGCATCTTCTTGTGTTCTCCCTGTGGAAGGAGAGTCAGTACTAAGAACTGCATTCTAATGGCAGAACCTTTCTGGAATCTCAGTAGTAATGAATTTGTCTGCATTTGATCTCCTCTGGGCATATTATTGCCTGTATTATAATTTTTCAATTCAGTTGTAAGCAAAAAAAAAAGTTTATTAATTCACTACTTTATTTACACAGTTTGTTGCCTTTGTTATTACAGTTTCACCCATCAGTGTTAATCCACCCAAGGTCTGTCTCAAGGGTATAGTTCCTTTTCATATATTTTTTTTATATTTCATTTTATGGTGCGTTAATGTAAAATTAAATATGCATTCACTGCAGTGTGACAACAATTGAGGTGTTTGCTGTTCTTTTTTTTCTTGAAGGGAGGGAATATTCTTTTTCTTTCATTGCAAAGCAGGGTACATAAATAAAGATATGCCAAATGTGATTATTTAGTAGTCATTCATTCATTCCCTAGGTCTGGCACTGTACCTCACAGGTTAGCAGTTCTTTTTCCTTGAGTTTATTTTTGGTTTATTGGTTTGGCTTACACCCTCAAATCTACGTTTTACATACCTATTGTAAAAAATAAATATGGGTTGTACGTGGTGTTCTGTCAGTAAGAATACTAACCTTGCTGTTTTTCATAAACCATTAGCACTGTGTGATGTTGCCAAGATCTGAAAGGGCCTTGCAAATGTGCAGTGTGGACATTTCAACAGTGTTATAATTGGTGTGCTGGCATTTTAACCTCGAAGTACATCTCCTGCCACATGGTACCACTGTTCTTGTTTTTGTTCAGACTCTTTTTGGTGCTAGTTAGCCATCAGAGCTGGCCGAGATGTAGACAAAAGGTGGTTCCTTTCCTAGGGTTTCCTTGTTGAAAGAGTTCAGTTATCTTGAGCTAGCTAAGGAGGTCACTGTGCTGGAGCAGTCAATGGAAAAGCTATTTAAATCCGAGATGGTTGTGGTGAGCTCTTAGATTCCTGCAAGCTATTCAGCAACTGATCTCGAAACTAGACTTGTTCTTGGGGGAACAAAGGGAACACAAAAGGTACTAAAAATCCTAGAGCTAGAAAATCTGGATTAAAATTTGCCGACGCAGGACCTACTCCAACCACAGCAGCATTTGTACAGCAGGAATTCCAGAGTGAAGTGAACATGCTGAGCCAGTAGGCTTCTCATGCCAAGGCATGAAGAGGACAAATACAACTTGTGAAGACCGCTTTCCAGAGACAAGCACGGACTGTATGTTCAAGCTACTCACATTGAAATAGGTAGAGAAGTGAATTAAAGGGGTAGTATGGATATACAGGGTTGTGCAAATGATAGTATTGTTGGGTCCTTAATGACCAAGTAGTGAGGATTTTGGTTTAATATCTCGTCCAGTCAGTTGGGGACACCAATGATTAACTGGAGACACGGCAAACAAAGCAAAGAAACATTTCAGGTAAAAATTGAACTTGTATATCAGCTTATGCCAGTAAGATGTTCCAGCCAGTTTTTCAATCTCCTGACCAAATCCCTTCTGGAAATCACAGTGTTTTGATTTGATTCTTGGCAAAGATATGCATCCTGTCATGAATCATATTCTTGTAGGCAGAGATGAAAGGAAATTAATGCCCAGGTTCTGGCATCTACAACATTGAGTAACTATATGTCTGATCTGGGTGTGGCAGATATATAGCATCTAAATTAACCCTACAGCCAAAGATTTTTTTCTTTCTTAGCTACACATAAATCATACTCCCGATTTATCAGTATTTTTTACATTGCGGGTTCATTTTTCTCTTGTACCCAATGAAGAGATGCTACTCATGTTACATCAGATCAACATACCACTTTCTGCAGATTTGTAGGGATAACTTTTCATTTGTCCCTCTGGCTTTTTATACTACACTGTTATAAATTGAGATGCTTCAGATGCAGTTTAAAGCTAAACTAGAGGAATTATGAATCATGGATCTGTCAGTGACTCCTGCATTCTATAGGAATATACGCATTTAGGAATAATTCTAAAGTATCTGCTTCACAACTGCACAAATCTTATCCTGGTAAATATTATGATGAGAAACTATGTTGGCTGTTCTAAAACATTCACAACAATTTACCTTTTTTAGTTTACTGCAACATAGTTAGAAAATAAGTGAATTCACTGCCAAGACACTGTAGATATTTGGGGAAAATTAGAGCCCCTTCTGTCTGAAATGATACAGACTTCCATTCAGTTAGAGGTATTTCACAGTGATGTGAATACTGACAAAATTTCTCACTTTTGGAAAAAAAAGATAACTCACACTTTATGCAAGCTTCTGACTTGTCTATTTGATTTGCTGTATTGCCAAGCTGTATGCTCAGGAGGCTTATATGAGCAAATTAATACATCACAATCAAAAAGACTTTATTACAGGATGTCTTACTTATGATTATATTTGACATTTCCTCTACGTTATACACATTTCAAACTTCAGTTAAAATATCCATGGTTGGAATGAAGTCAAGTATTCTTTAGAGATTAGTTTTCATCAATATATTTAAATATTATACTGCATGTCTGTTCTTAAGCAGTGGTGTTAAAAGGCAACATTTTCTCTATCCAGTTTTGCAATGTCTAGGGGAAGTTTGCTTTGTCTTTAGAACCAGTAACTCAAGCTGTCTGTCTGATATTACTGTTTTTATTTTTGTCAACAATGCACAACACTGCATAATGCTCTGTGCCTTATGTCCAGTATTTTGTGCAGTATTTTTATATGTAGACAGTATCTTCTATACCTGCCATGTCTGTTTCTGATATTTTTTAGTAAGCCTAATTATCTTTAAATTCTGAAATGGAAAAAGTTGTCTTATTTCTAGTTGTGCTACTGATCACGCAGAGATACTGTACCTGCACATAAAGATTCACATCCACCTGTTGCATGCCATCACAGAAAACAGCTTGAATAAAATTTTCAGTCTTCAGGCACAGGATTCCATTATAACATTGACTGTGCTATGATTCCTCTTTCTCACCCTTTAGGGTATACTGGGATATCATTATATTATACTGTATTGTACTTATTTTGTTCAGGTTTTGAATTTTTAAAACTAATAGCAGCTAGTTTACTATAGTAAAATGCATTGCACACTTTGTGATTTTACTCTTAATGATTCATACTGATTACATGGTCTCAGAGAAAGATGTAGATGTATTGAAATGCAATTCTGAAAGCAAAAAATGTAATACTGTAATATAGTATAAGCAGCTGATGTATGACATTCTCACCACATTTTTTTAATTTAAATCTGACTTTGGCTGTCCATATCCAGCTGGCTTCTGCAAACTTGTTTTCATATTGCTGCATTTTGCAGGTTCTCTTCATTTTTTAAATTTGCACATGCTAATTAATTCTTTATACTAACCTAAAGAGTGCAGTATATAATGTTGGTTTTGAAAGCCATACAGTAAGTGATTGTAAGCCAAACACCCTTTAGAGAAATGAATTAAAAGACTGTGAATTTTGTCTCCTGACAGGTATAATCTACACCACTGATATGCTGGATCGTGAGACCAAGGACTCTTACTGGCTCACTGTTTATGCCACTGACCATGGTGTTGTGCCTTTGTACACTGCCATCGAAATATACATTCAAGTGGAGGATGTGAATGACAATGCGCCTCTGACCTCCGAACCCATTTACTACCCTTCAGTTATGGAGAATTCCCCAAAGGATGTGTCGGTGATACAGATAATAGCACAGGATCCTGACTCCACTTCAGGAGACAAGCTGACTTACAGAATCTCTAGTGGGAACCCGCAGAACTTTTTTGCTATAAACGCCAAGACAGGTAAGAGCTCTTGGTTTGATTCCTTGTGGCTATCTACAGTAATGTATTGGTAGAGTGAGTCAACTAAATAAATAGGTCTAGAGCAGTGGTTTTCAAACTTTTTGGACCAAGTATCACCCCTAATCCAACCAAAGCATCCAAGTACCACCTACAAGTCATCATCTCATAGGAACCCTAGAAAGTCTCAATGACCAACATGAGCACATGTGCACACACATTCACACATACATATAATAAATATCATAATAATAAACTTTGTTTGATATATTAAAATGTGGCTTCTCAAAGTGTTTTACAGAAAAAAAACAACAACAAATAGAAATAAAAAAGCACCATTTCAGTGAGAGGGGTGAGCCTGTTTAGTTGAGCAAAGCAGATGTGAATTAATTTTTCGAGCCTTGATACAATTCACAACAGTCTTAACAGATTTAAAATCGTCAGGCATTTTCTTGACGGCAAAGGTCTCGCGGTGGTTGTTGCAATGAAACCATTAATTTCTGGAGCAACCTCTCTAATTCGTGCAACTACACCGCTGTGTCGGCTTGTCATTGCTCTAGCACCGTCTGTACAAACTCCGACACATTTTATCCAGTCGATGCCATTCTCTTCGATAAATTCATTCAGAAGCTGAAATACGTGCTCTACTGTAGTTCCCGTTGGTAGCGGCTTACAGAACAGAAAGTCCTCACAGGACGTACCCTCAAACTCGTATCTAACGTAAACGAGCAAATTGGCCAAATCGACTATAGACTCATCTAATTGCAGTGAAAAACATCTGCTCATCTTAACGCGCTCTGTCAGAGTACTTTTGATATAATCCTTCATTTCAATAATTCTGTGAATGACTGTGTCTTTCAGGGGGGGCAGCAGGTCGAGCTGTTCAGCAGCTTTTTCTCCACACATAATAGTGTGGGGCTTACCTGCTTTAGCAATCCGCAAGCTTGCATTTTTCCATGTTTCCGTTTTTATTTCAGTGTTTATTTTAAGTATTTATTTCATGCGCATGGGAGAGAAACACAGAGACGCTCGGTGCATTTTTCTCAAATTAACTTAGAACAGTTCTTAAATATTTTTCTGTTATTTTTCATGCTTTCCTTGTGTTCACAAGATTACCAGCGTTCGTAGCATGCATTTCTATGCATTCCTGTGTTTACAACGTTGGCGTTGTTCCAAAATCACGCACATTCTCCTTTCTCCCTATTTGCTGGAGATACTGTAGCTTTTTTTAAATACAATTGGTCACTTGCGTCCATAGCACGCATTCCTATAGAGTGGTATAGAATTACAGAATATCTCTTGTGTCCACTGAAGTATAAGCGTGCACTGTATCGTAGTACGTAGGCTGCATATTCGACACGTATAAAAATACAAAATATGAAAACCCGTCCTGATTTTTTCAGCGCACACAACACAGTTCCAGGGTCATTTGGCGTACCACCTGGCGGCACGCCATGTACCACTGCCAGTACGCGTACCACAGTTTGAGAACCACTGGTCTAGAGGATCAGAGTAATGATTTTTTTCCGTAGTCTTTTTGTTAGGATTGGACAGTCCTAGATAAAATTCAGCTTTTAACTGTTTCATTGTACGACTACCATAAGTAACAATGTTAATTTTAATGGTTAAAATGCTCTTATATTGGATCGTTTCCATTGCAAAGACAATTGAACTCGACGGGACATAAATAATAAAAACAAAAAAAATCATGTTTGATTAGATTAAGCTAAAAAAATACACTCCATTAGTGATATATTTCTTCCAACTACTCTTGAAGCCTTAGTAAATCACCGTATGTTGTTTGACTTGTAACAAATAACATACATCAAAATTTGCCCAGTTTTTGATGGAGCAAGTTAGCCAGGTTGTCGTTTAGGGGAGTGTGAGCTTTGTGTAGCAAATCAATTTTAAGGCTGTCCATTATAGAAAATGTTCTTTGTTTAAGTACTGTATGATTGCTCACAGTCAGAATACATTTTTAATTCATAGCATGCTTGATATGCAGCTATAGCCAAAAGGCAACTCCACCAGATATAGTTTATATTAGAATATGCAGCTATCGAATTAGACAGAGCATAACATCACGTGTTTATGTGGTAAAAAACATAAGATGTACGGGAGTTCTTGTCATTAAGAAGAATGAGTTTGGAAAAACAACCAAGCTAGGGATAATTTGGTGTGGTGGTTGTTGTAAGCCTATGTTTGGAAATATTCTGTAGCAAAGTTATTTTTTTTCTTTAGAATTAACAAATGACATTAAAACTGTTCTGTCCAAGACAACCGTTAAGTGCTGCTGTATATTGTATACAATGCTGTAGATGCCATGGTATAATCACAGGATAGTTTGGGAAAGCACAAGAAGCATACAATAAAGGCATGGTAAAGCACTGTCATGTATGGTAAAACATGATACAAATTGGTTAAAACCTCGGCAAAGTAAAATATATGCATAGTAGAACTGTGAGAAAGCTGGGAATGCCAGTACACAGTGTAGATGTGAAAAGTTGTAAAGAAAGTTGCAAATAATTAATAGCCACATAGCGGCTACCTTGCCATTCAGGTTGTTCATTTTGTACTTTTTCAAAACGAAGTCAAAGGCTATGTCTTAAGACTTTCTTGTAGCATGTTAGAGAATTAAAATTCAACCTTCTTTTAGCTAAATCCTCTTTACATTTACCACTAAGGGCTTTCTAAAGCCCTGTGTATTTTAATTCTGATTTTGAAAATATATTCCACTGGCTCTAGAATCAGTTTTCTCTGGCAGTAATCTCTAAATATTTTATTCTTTAAGGCTGGAACTCTGATTAAATTTTTATTACTAGCTCTTCAGTAATTCAAGCTGTAGTCATTTTGGGTTTTAAAGCAAGTGAATTAAGAAGCTAATAAGTACAGAAAGCTCTATTTATCAAAAAGTCTGTTTGACACTCCACTGTGGAAACATATTTATTTATAGATTTTGGTGATTATATCCATCCCATCAAAACTCACTCCTTGGATTTTGTCCCAGATGTTTATTATACAGTATATGGAGAAAATATATCCAAATGTTTGTAGAAAGATATTGAAAGGGTAAAACTGATACAATCATGTTTATAACAAAATGTTCATGACACACTCACAGCTAACACATTTCATCATTACCTGTGTGCATTTACAGTATAAACTCAGATGTCTTACCATGAGTCTTACAGGACTCCCATAAGGATTTCTTATGTTTCCAGTTAGTGCAATATTCCTAGTTTGTTATTCTGTGAGGTGGCACAGTAATGTGCCAACTAGGGATTCTGTGTCACACCCAGTGGGTTCTGGGTTTGATTCCTGTCTCGGACTCCAGTCAGTATGGAGTTTGCATACGTTTCTTATTAAGGTCTGCTTATACGTAAATATAATTGCTCACACATGAAGAAGGTTCAACAGCTGAACCAAAGAAAATAATTCAGTTGTTCCAGTTTACAACTATCAGTTGCACTATGGACTGGTGTCCTGTCCAGGGGAAGTGTCAGTATCAGTAAGTGTCTGGAATGGGCCCTGGCTCTGCTGCAGTTGTAAAAGACAAAACATGGTCAGACAATAACATGATGTTAGTATCTTTCTAAATTGTGTCATTACATAAATAATTGATTTTGTTTTGAATGCCTTTAATACAAACATGGAAAACTAAAAGTAGCATATTTGGTATGTAAAAATGTATTGTGTAGAAGAGACTACCATGCATGTTATTACAAAAAATAGATGTAAATGATGTCCCTTCTTTTCCTAATTCCATGTAATTGGTGAATTGCATGATTGAAGAGCTAACACGGTACTAGGTTTAACTAAGAAACCTGAATCTCTGGCATATGTATTAGAAAGAACTGGTTTAGAAAATCTAATAGGTGTAATTGTAATAATAATAGGTGTAATTGTAACATCTTCAGTCCTGATGCCTTTTAGTCTCAGTGTGCTGAAATGTTATCTTCTAAAACATAACATCAAAAAATTTAAATGAAAGAGCACTATAACTTTTTTTATTGTACTGAATACATTTCCTAATGAACACATACTGTACTCCTTATATTGTGTGTATAATCTTCACAAGTTGTTTACTCCACTTTCTAAAGTATTAGTAGAACAATGAACGATGAAGTGATGTATATTGTATAGTATGTATTATTACACTTAATAAAATTGGCTTCCATGCATAATACCAGTGTCTTAAGAACCAGTTTAACTTTTAAAAAAATACCTCCCAAAGCTGTGAATTGCAATTAAGGACAAATAATTACTTGTTACTGGCTTGTCTCTTAATATGTTAGTAATAAGGTTAACTCACTTCATTAATTGGTGATTGCTTCTTTCCAGTTAGATAAAGTGGTGTGTTAATTAACAGTTTTGTGCACTTTCCTCTGACTATACAGAGACTGTTTAGTGCCATTTCAGATGATGTACGGAAATTGTAAATTCTGCAGTTTTATTAATGGCCTCCTCAGCAGATTACTTGATTGAAAAAGTAGACAGCAATTTGTGCAGAGAATACAATCACCTTGAGTGTCTAATTATCTTTATCTATGGTGTTCAAATAAATACCCAACATGTCAAAACCATTGACTGTAGTTGTAAAGATCATATCTTCTGAAGTTGACTTGATTCTACTGGCAATATTATCATGCATTGCTATCTGATATATATAAATACTAAGCATCAAAAGAATGTATCACTATTTTTATGCATGCATGTTTTAAAATAATAAAGAATATGAATATTAAATGTTGATTAATTGTTTATAAAATGTTGATGAAAATGTAGATAAAATTATATGGAATAATGTTCATTGGTCTTTCATGACTGATATGCTCAAGAGACCTTACCCGTAATTGGACACAAGGAATAAGGTGATTTAATCTGTTGAATGTCTTCTTGAAAATATACCAGAAGGAATTATTATTATATTTAGAGAAAATTTCTTTTTTGCTGTTGGTATATTTGAGCAGCACTTTAGGGGAACTTACCAACAGCCGAAGCAA